CCGCGGCGTAACCGCTTCATAAAGCTGTCGGCGTTAAAGGAAAAATAACTTCCACGCTACCTAAAAAAAAAAATCAGTGCTCCTAAACTAGTGACGCACTCGATGATGCATTCCAAGAGGTATGCGCGGAGTGACTGGCTGCACCTTGCCTCAGCCGTCAGATGCTCTCACAGGGTTGCCTCACCGACAGCTGAGTAAGTGTTCTCTTCTTCTGCATTAAATGCATTTTGGGCACGGTTCTGGTCGTCCAGTTCCGTTTTCCCAACAAGTACAGAACACTTCCTCATGCTGTGCCGGGGAGCTGGTGTGGAGGACGCAGCAGCTCTTCATATGACACCTGTAACTCAACTGCCACGGGTCTCTTAAATAAAATCTCGAAACCTGAAGAGCACCGGGGGTGATAGTTCTTAAAATATTTACAAAATACCCCAGATGTGCAGTTTTAAACTTCTGTAATGACATTAACACAATTGAATTCATTGCGCTGCCATAGGTGTCAGGTGTTCAACTTTACTTGTACCAGGCTAACGTTAGCTTCTAATATCCAAACGGCCAGCAGAAGCTAGTGAAGGCTGCTTGTGTGTGGCCTAACTTCTGAGTTTGAGATGAGTATCTGTTACCTGGGAAACACAAAATCTTTTTTTACTTGGCGTTTTCTCATCAGGATCTGTATTGGAACACCCCCACCTTATGGTGTAATGCGTGTGGGTGTAGATAGTTCCATTCAGGGGTTCATAAAATACTGTTGTGCCTTATCAGGTTACTCAGACTCTTAAAATCCTTCAAGGACACTTCACAGAAATTTGAGGTTTTCAGTTTGTGTATCTTCTGTTGGTGATGTCACTGAAGATAACAAGGAATGGCCCTCCAGCTCACCTTCTGATGTAGGAATTGAAGGCTGTAGTTTTCCTGCTTGCACCAACAAAGCTGAAAGACCTTTTCTTATTCTTCTTATTGGAAAAAGAACTCATTTTTTCCAAGCTTCTGTTTGTTCTTGCAGTGGTGTACTGTTGATGCCCTCCTGTACCGATCTATTTTAAGACTAAAGGTAGTGCTCTTAAAAATCAAATCCATTTAGGGCCCTAAGCACAACTCTTATGTACAAGTTGGCACTTGTAAGACCTCTTAAGTTAGATATCAACAGTTGATTTTTTCAAGGTACCTTTAAAGGTTATAAACCTTTCATTCCAGATCTATCAGTTGTTCTGAATATAGAAATGGTTGCTTAGGGACAGAATTTCTGCATTGGATCAATCCCATGATTTCTCCAGCCGCTCCTGGTTCAGAAGAAGAAATACGAAGTCCCACAAGAGCCGTGTGGACAGCCTGTCCTCCAGTAGTGGGGCTGCTCTCATCCCAGGGATTTGAGATGATCAAAACCTGTGTCATAAAACCGGTTCTGTATTGAGGGGAGTATCCATATCTAATTCATGCTAACAGGCTGCTGGAGGTGGTGCTGCAGGTGCAGACTTAAGGCAGTGAGCTGATACACTTTCTGAAAATCTCTCCCTTTATTTTGGACTTCCTGATTTTTTTTTTTCAGTTGAATTGAATTTGACTTGGCTTTTTTCGCTGTAGGAAGAAAGAGAAGCTAATGATTTCTCCTTTAGTTCATTTGGTGTGCTTAGAATTTATGTCGGAGTGGACTTTTGGTGATCATCTAGTCCAGCCTCCTTCTCAAAGCAGCACTAACTTGAATGTTAGGTCAAGCTGCTTTTCTGGTCGAGTTCTGAAACGAATCGAGATTCGACAATCTCTGCACAGTTACCTTGTTATTGTGGGGGATTTGCACAGCTAATTGGAATGTCACTTGTGGCAATTTGTGGCTGTTGCCCCTTGCCCTCATTTCTGTTAGTCTTAGGTTAATAATTCCTTTCTTCACCCTGGAGAAAGGAATATTTATTTTTTCTGTTTGTGTATCAATACTTTCTTACGGCCTTTCCAAGCGTCACTGAATTCCGAAGGGGCTTTTGGGAGCTCTGAAGGTGTAGAGCACAGGCCGTATTACACAAGCTAGATCCCTCGTTTAGTGCTGTCTGAATACTTGCAGTTAAATACAAAAGAGGTACAAATACTGTCTCCTTTTTACAGACACCCCTGGGATACGGTGATCAAAGCTGCTATGAGAAAGTACCCCAACCCGATGAATCCGTGTGTGGTAGGGGTAGACGTCCTCGACAGAAGCCTTGATAACCAGGGGAGGTTGCACAGTCACCGTCTTCTCAGCACGGAGTGGGGATTGCCGAGTATTGTGAAAGCGGTATGCCGTTACAGTCTCAATGGTTTATCAAGCTGCATTTTTATGTTGTCGTCTGCATCGGAGCGGAATTCAAAGTAAAAGCTTACTTTATAGGAAATATCATAAACAGATACCGCAGGAGCTGTAATCAGCGTGCTTAGTAGCGAGAATACATTGTAGGCTTTAATAGGCCCACAGTGTGTCTGTACATGCCTTCCAGTCGGGTCTGTGTCACGCTGTATGACTGCTATAACCTACCAGGACGTAGTCTGGCCACTGATCACAGCGTTCCGGTATCTGTGAATTACTTTGTATTTATTTGGGGTCACTAAGATCTTGACATTTACGCATTTCAGGTTGGGTTGTTAGGGGGTTTTCTTAGCACTTTTTGATTTTTTTACTACTTTTATTTCTTCACTTTCAGATTTTAGGAACAAGTAGAACTCTGACTTACATTGAGGAACATTCTGTGGTAGATCCAGTGGAAAAAAAGATGGAGCTTTGCTCAACTAATGTGAGTATTAGCTTAAGAAGTTTCTGGTAATTCATTCTGGAGATTAGATGTTTGCTTTTAACATTTAGATTAGAAATGTGTTTGCATCTTTCATCAGGAGGTGTCAATTTCCACATCTTAGTTGGCTCTTTTTTTACCTCCTTCTTCTTCCCACAAATAGGAAACTTCAAATACTATGAGACCTCAAACATTTGTGATTGTGTTTTTGATGTAAGATTATTTCTCAGAATGCATGTAACACAGTTTGACTTTTAGATGAGTAACTTGTTCTACGTTACACTGCCATCTACAGCAAAAGTTTTAAATTGAAATGCCTTTTCCCACAAATTTTAAATGAAGTATTATGCTATATTTTGGTATCCTGGGAACTTATAACTATGAGATTTAAAGTGGAATTGTCTTTGGGAGAACCTTGTGTCCATATAAGAGACTTGGTCTTTCAGGAGTATCAATTTTCGGTACATTCCAGTGTTATGGTAGTCTTGGACTTGAAGAGCCTCTCTGAATTGTATGCTGTGAATCAGGTAAGACTCAACATCCAGAGAAAACGAATGGGACGCTCCCTGTGCTTCGCACTGTGAATGGCAACTTAGATGGATATAATTAGATCTAGGAAGGAGAAGATGCATCACTCTTTATAGGTCTTATTTATTGACTGTGTTCTGGGTTTTATGTTCTGTGTACACTGCTTTGTCTCTGACATTAAATTGAGTGCTCTACTACTGAGTAGTGCTGTTGAAAGGTGGGAAGTGAGGAAATCAGCTCTTTTTTTTTCTTTTTAAGATCACTCTCACAAATTTGGTGTCTGTTGATGAGAGACTGGTTTACACGCCTCATCCTGAAAATCCTGAAAAGTAAGTAAAGCTACCTGTGTGCTTCTTTGTGTGTAGGAGACATTATGTTAGTCCCAGTTTAGGGACAGTTTAGGTATTAACTCTTCTTTGTTGTCTTACAGAACTGTGCTCACCCAAGAAGCAATTATTACTGTGAAAGGCATTAGCTTGAGCAGTTACCTGGAAAGCTTAATGGCAAACACAATATCTTCTAATGCCAGAAAGGTACATCTTTATTCTGTTTACTCCCTCTCTCCTCCCACCCCCACCTTTCTTTCTGTTGAAATAGCAGTTGTCAATATCATGTGTGCTGGAAGCTATGTTTAACTTCTCTCAACTCTGTGCGCAGAGTTGCAACTGATTTTGTTGTAGGACCTCCTCAGCAGGGAGAATAAGATTTCCCAAAGTATGAAAAGGGTTCGCTACTAAATCTTTTGGTTTTTCAATTAGAATTGCACATCAGAACAAACAAACTTCTATGTGTATGCTACAGTTACACATACCATACACATATTACTGGAGTTTGGGGTTTTCTTTGGTTGGTTTTTCCTTTGGTTGGTTTTTTTTTTTTTCCCAAAGCACCTTTTTAAACAGTAACTTCCTATTTCTAGGAGTTAGTGCTAGTAGCAAACATAATTCCATTTTCAGCCTTTATAATCTGGATTTAGCAGTTAATGTTAATATATTTTCTGTGCTGCTTTGTCAGTTGTTCCAGTCCTTATCCATTATTGAGCTGTCTCCTTGCCTTTGGCTGAAAGTAATGTAGTGTAAGCAGAGGCATGCTCTTTGAAGAGGTGAAGCTATGCTGGCTTTTGTAGGTAACACTACACCGACTCCTCCGCCTTCTGCTGGCTTTTTCTACTTGGCTTGCAGCCACGGAGCTGCACTTCAGCACAGGCAAAGCTATGGGAGTGCTTATTCTTGGACACTTCGTCCTGTACTTCTTTGGGGAAGGAAGATGGGAAAGAAATGGAGTTGCTAGAGAAGCATAGGCCTAAAAGCAGGATGAGTGCACCTGAAATTGGAGCCTGTGCTCTGCATTGCTGGAGAGGTTCAGCACAGGGGGAACCCGGCCCAGGTAACTCTTGCTGTGCCAGCGACCTTGGCCAGCCTTTGTCCTGCTGAGGGATGTTGTTTGACCAGGGCAGTACAAACCAACGTGATGGGAAGGACAGACCAACTAGCAGGAAGGAAAGAGTCTCCTTTTCCTCCCTTCTGTGCACCTCTCCAGAAATTAGAGGAAAACAGGCTAAAACCAGGGGATGGGGAAGGAGTAATGGGTAACTTCTACACACTAAAGAGTAACTTTAACTACCTGAGTGCTCTCTGTTTGAAAGGGGAATGTATTTCAGTTAAATTACAATTCTATTCTGGTCCAGTTTCCATTTAAAAGTCTGTGTGGGGCATATATTCTTGAAAGAGAAGCCCAAACCCTGGCTCACAACCAAACTTCAGGCTGACTCGGAGGTAGCAAAGCATTAGCTAGTTGGCATGGCCAGATGAACTAGGCACACTTAGAAGTGCTGGCCAAATTCCTCTCGTGGCATCTGTCACGTTTGCATGTCTCTACTGAACTCAGAGAAAATATTCAGGTGTTGCCTGTGTGAGAGCTCCATTTCTTTTAAAGATTATTCTTCTGCCATTTTCACGGAACACACTGGCTCACAAGCTTCTTGCAAATCAAAAAGATGTTCTTGCCCTGTGTGTTTCACTGGAGAGTCTCTTTAGAGAGGTCAGACTTGGCAGGAATTTGTACTTGCTGTTACTGGCTCTTGCTTTGCTACCCAGTGACCTACTGTTAGTAGCTCTTCTTGCATGCTGTGCTGTGCCTCTGTGTTCTGAGCACCCCTCTTAAACTTCCTGAGGGTTGCTGAACAACGTTTTGTTGTTCTGAAGAGATAGGAAGTATGTACGGCGATTTTGCTCTGAGGTAGAGGTGGCAGATGACGCCTTACTATTTTAAATGACAATGGAAAAATCATTTGCCATATGTTGTAAATCTTTCTGTGTTACTCCAGGGGTGGGATGCTATTGAGTGGATAATTCAAAATTCTGAAAGCGCTCTAAGCTAGCAGTTCTCCACATCTACAGTTTGTACTAACTAGTGGTAATGCCAGCATTCTTCTTCTTGGTACAGCATTTTGGCTTTCTAGCAAATAGCTGCATGGATTGTTGTCATGTGAATTTCATAAATTAACCTGCATGTGTGTTGTATATACATTGCATACAGGAATGGCAAACACGTTCATTATGCTGCAGTTGTAGGGAGCGGGCGTAGGTCAGATCTGGACTGGGTCAGTTAACCTGTGCTTATGCAGCACAACCCGCTTGCTGCAGCCGTGTCCTGCGCCCCGGCGTTGCGTGCGGTTTGCAAGTGGAAGGCTGGCTGCAGATGACTAGGCACGAGAGTGAGTCCCTCCACCATGTGTTTGGGCTGATCCTGGTTTCTGCGACTTCAGTCTGTAACACTGGTACCTGAAGAAATTAATAAATTGGTTAGTGACTGGAATTGGCATTACAAAAATGAAACAGAGTTGTACTTTTAGGCTGTAAAGTTGAGATCTTGAAACAGATTGCTTAACAGGGGTAATCTTTTGCACAGTGAAGTTGTATTTGCTTTTCTTATGCTTGAGGAATATTGTTGCCCTTCTGTGAACGGCTCTGGAAATCTGTACAAAGCTTGAAGCTGCCAGAATGGCAGACTGGTCGTGTTTTTCATTGGTCTTGTAGTTACATTCATTTTGGTAGTGACGTGTCCCGTCAGCGGCGTGACGGTGAAAAAATCTGACTTCAGGGTTGAGAGAACTGAGTGTTCTTGCCTCTGGGATACCTCTGTGCAGGTTGTTTTCTTTCCACTAGTCAGGGTAGCCTGTCTCTGTCATTCCTGTATTGGCTTATGCTTCAACTAATAAGATTCCTTAAAAAAGGAAAAACAAATCCATTACGCAGCTTCTCCTAGTTAAGAACGTAGGGTTTTTTACACCGCTTACTTTGAGATCAGCCTATGCTATGAGTGTTTGCTTTTATGTTCTCATTCCACTAAGCTTTCCTGGCTGTTTTTCTGGAAAATGTCAACTACAAAGGCTCGGCACTTAGCAGTCACTCTACCAGCAGACCCTCACACGCAGCGCCCAAACATGTCATGCTGCTGACACGTGCAGTAACGACTAATACGATATGCATGCTTGGTTATGAATGTGCTTGCTTAACGACTTACTGCAGAATTTGTTGTACAGTATGAAACCTTACAGACCAATCCTCTGTCAGATTCTTTTTTTTTTTTTTATTGGTACCTGGGTAGTTCTACAGTACTCGGAAGCTTTGCATCTGTTTAAGAGTTTGTGACTTAACTTCCTGTGCAGGGTACTCCTGAGCTCTTCCTTGCCAGTGTCATGAGTTTATTCCTAGCTGCAAAGTACAGCATGTAGCGCATGCAGGTCCAAGGGAATGCACAGACCTGTGTCATCTCGAAAGCTGAAGGAAATACCTTGGTGCTCCACTGGAATGTCACGATTTTTTTATTTTTTAAATTTTATCTTATCAACAAGTCTATCAGCTAAAACACTGACCTGATTGTTTCATAGTCAGGGCCCAAAAAGAATCTCAGTATTTTCCTACTGAGCTTTTTCTGCATCGAAGGCGTTTGACTGTCTGACACGTCGTCTTTGTGCAGTTAGACATATACAACGTCTAAGCTGTTGCTGTCTTACTCAGTTCTTTGTACCTGGGTCAACTAAGAGAGGACGTTTTGACCTGGCTTTTAAATATCCAAATGCATGCTTACTGAAAGATGATTCCCCCTCCCTCCCCCCGCTTTGTTCCATACGGAGCACTCGGCTCAGCTAGTTCATAGCTAGTTAGAACTTAGAGTCATACAATGGTTTGGGTTGGAAGGGACCTTAAAGACCATCCAGTTCCAACCCCCCTGCCATGGGCAGGGACACCTTCCACTAGACCAGGTTGCTCAAAGCATCGTCCAGCCTGGCCTTGAAGACATCCAGGGATGGGGCATCCACAGCTTCTCTGGGCAGGCTGTTCCAGTGCCTCCCCACCCTCTCCATGAAGAACTTCTTCCTGATATCCAATCTAAATCTCCCCACTTTCAGTATGAAATAAACCCTTTACCCCTTGTCCTGTCACTACAGACCCTTGTAAAAAGCCCCCTCTCAGCTTCCTTGTAGACCCAATTTGTTGTGATGCAGTAGCCTACTCCTGCCTGGGTGCTTTCATGGGTGCTTTGACGGCGTTCCCTGGTCTCTCACGGGATGTATGGATGGTGGGAGTTACCATCTCCTGAAGCGCGGTCGATTTGTTCTCAAACGGAAGGAATGTTTGAGTTAAATCATACCCTTCTAAGGACTTTCTTCAGCAACCCATACCTCCGCTGGACAATTGGAGTCATGCTTTCTTCAATATTGTTAGTATTTTTAAAGGCGTCTCTTGAACTACGTTACCTTAAACATACCAGTAGTTGTGGGTAGAGCCGAATCCCCCTTTCTGAGCTCTGGCCCAGAGCCCAGCACTCTGTTGTGACACGCAGATGACTTTCCTCAGCTGAAGGACTGCTTGCCGGCGCAGACGCAGCGATTAGCGTTTACTCTGCACGGCCCTGAAGAGAAGCAGAGTCAGCCCTTCACTGAACTTCAGGTCTTGAGATAAATACGCTCTTATTCGTAGTAAAACTTTATTTCTGTTAATAGGTTACACTTTCCAGCCTGGAACTGGCTGGAGTAATGTTTCTGGAGTAATGTTTTCATATTCAAAGAATATGTGTGGGTTTTGGTTGGACCTTTTTTTTGAGGTTTTCAAAGCTGTTTATGCAGCTTCTTGTTCATACTTAGTGGTTTAAAGGACAACAGCAGCATGTTCTGGATGCTTTATATGGTTTCTGTTCACTTTATCACCTGCAGTGCATGAAACAAAAAGAGTAGGTCATAGCTCAGAACAAAACTGTGTGTGTGCGGAGGAGTGTTCCCCCGATCTCTGCAGAGGGTGTGAGCCCTGACATCAGCTCTCCTGCAGGTTTAGGACTGTTTGGGCTCAGACCCTTTATGTTCAGAACTCCCCCAGACATGGCCGGAGCCATGTGGCTCCCAGTTACGTCTCTCTTCTGTTCGCGCTGCTTATTCTTGGTAGGGTGGTAGAGGTGAATGTTGCTTGGCTCCTCTTTAAGTGAGAAAAGGCCAGGTGTTTTCCTGGTCCGATCCCATCCGCTTGTTTTGGCAAAACCTGTCATTCTGAGACTGTGGAGCTCTAAAATCTCACGCTTTTGTTTAGCTAAAGTGCTTCTCTTTTTTTTCTGGGCTTCACCGTGTGGCTGCGTGCTCATCTTGTGGTCGCTGCGGTGCAGCTGCTGAAGAGCCAGGCAAAAGGGTTTTGACACGCTGATTTTGCTGGATACGTCACCTCTTGCTAAAGCATTCGAGACACTCCCGTTGTGAGGCCTGACCAGAGAAAGGGTGTACCTGAACATAAAGGGTACGACTGTAGTCCCTCAGTTAGTCTGGTTTATATGCTGAAAAACTGCTGTGCACCAAAGTGGAACTTGGCGTGAGACCATCTCTGAACTCTTGCCAGAGCTCAGATCAACTAGTTGCTACATCAAGGAGCACTTGGAAGACTTTCTTTGTCCCGGATCTTCTCAAACTCTATCTGTAGAACTTGACTGATGAATCTGAGGAGAGTATCTCGACTTTGCCCCAGGTGTGCTGCTATCCTTTGGATGGTGGGAGCGGCAAAGCCGGCAGTGCTCTGACACGAGGGAACTGAACTGCTGACTGGGCTTTCTGCCCAGGTGCGTTACTGGGACCCTGCACCAGTACGGCATTTACTTCTTGCTTACGGGTTAGGCAAACCCCTTCGCAGGGAAGTTGCCGTAAAATGCTCAGAAATGATCCATATAATCTGGCATCAACCTAGGCAGGACACGAAATTAATTTTTAAAACAAGTCTCGTGTCTGACAGAGGAAAAACTATAGAAACAACAATGGTGGTGTATCTGTTCTGATCCTAAACTCCAGTATTTTCCTGGCAGGGTCGGGATGCCCTGGAGTGGGTGATCAGCAAACTAAACGCAGAACTGGAGGAGCTGAAGTCAACGCGCGAGGGCATGAAACCAGCCATGGCGGCGGCCTCCACAGAAAAATAAAGCCAAAAGTACCAAGTAACTGACAGAAAAGTTCTGTTCTGCAGACTGCTTTGTAGATCTCCCTGCCAAGGCTGATCTGCACTGTTTTTTTTATATTGATAAGAATATTGGATCAGCGGAAAAGTAACCTCATCCATCGTCTCCACAGCAGCTCCCGTTGCCTACTGAAGATGAAATTGACCTCCTGCAGATGCTCTTTTCATGTAAACGATTCCTTTTTAACACTGGAAACAAAACATTTAGCACATTTACAACTGCCTAAATGTGCCTTTTAGTATAGCAGAGAGAGAGAGTATATTATAATTACACCATCTTGGTTTTTCGTACTCAAACCTGAAAAGAATGCGTGTGCGATACTAAGGATTTTCCGTGTGAACGTTTGTTCTGTGAAGGGCTGATTAGTACTGCAGGTCTGAGTTTTGTCCCTTGTGTAACCTGATAGTGTTTTATAACCATTTAAAGGCAAGTACGTGAGTCAGAACATGATGCTGTGGAATTAGATATCTATCTTAGAGGATTATCCCGAAAAGCTAAAACTTGTGTGGTACTGACTTTTCCGGTGGGGTTTAAGTGTGCTGCCAGAACATGACGTGCAGGTACTTTACCTCTTAGATGTTTGTATCCAAACAAAGAGAAAGTTTCTATTGATGTTCATAGCCTAAACTATTTTTTTTTTGGCAGGGAGAAGGGTATAATTTATTTTCATATTTATTAACTTGCCCTAGTTCCTCCCCTCCCTCTGAGGAGAGGAGTAGTAATTCTTGGAAGGTGCTGGAAAATACTTCTCTTCTTTATCTCTTAAGAAGGGTACTTGTAGGCTACTTGCATGAAGAGACTGTGCTGTTTGACTGGTCTTTGCTCTTCATGTTGTGTCTTAACTGAGAGAGAGACGGATGCAATAACCGGAAGAGCTGAAGTGAGAAATAAGCAGGAAATTTGAAATCCAAAGGGTAAGGTTTCGTGAGCGTGTACTTTCCATGCCCTGACTGAAGAAAACAAGTGCCCAAGAAGAACAAACGGACTCTCTTTTTTGAGCGCTTTCAACTAACTGCTGACTACCAGTGCAACTGCGGTTTTTTCAACACTTTTCCACGTTGGTACAAAATGGTTTTAGGATCATTTTAAACGCTGCTTCTCATCATCTGCAGAAATTGTTTCCTGTAAAACATGCAGAAATATCGATGGGTAAGAGTCCCAGCCTTGTCTGATGTTCACAGCATTTTCCTATTTGGTCCAGGTGTAGAATACATGGTTTGGACAGCCCCCTGTTAGGGCATTTTAACTTATTTTTTGGTGTGCACACAAAGCAAAATAAATGTTGCCAGGATGTTTACTCGTTCAAGTAGCAAAGCTTATGTTTGAGACGCTGTTAAAGAGCATGAGTAACTTCTAAAAAAATGAGAAGAGTCAAATGTTGGTCACTGTTTTGATCTGGTAATTTTAAAGTGTCTGTAGCTTAAGGGAAATCTCAGCGTTCGTATTCGGGTTAGTTTGAAAGTGAACATCAATTTGGGTGTAACGATAGTCTCGCTCAATTAGATGATCCTAATGAATAAACTTAATTAAAAAAAAATATATATGTTAGTTGAAAATAATTAAATGAGTAGCTAATATTTACATTGCTCTTTTTATATGGACCTAAAGCCTTTCTTGTTTTGGAACAGAAACGTAGAGCTTAAAGTCTGATAGCAGCTCCTTTCCGGAAGATACACTGGATAGCTTTGGTGCAGGTCAGCTGTCACGCTTGTCAGAGGAGTGATGCCGCTTCCTGGATAACGAGGGCAGAAGATGTAGCTCCTGGTGGTGTCCGGCTAGGAAGGGAAGCGCGGCTACGGCAGAGCTCTGCAGATGGAAGGAAAGGATGAGTAAGTGTGTGTGCATGTGGAAACCTGTGCCACAGCGTTTCCATGCGTGCCTACTGGAGGTGATAGAATCATAACTGTCGGTGGGGTGGGTAGAAAAGTCTTCGAGAGGTTCATGCGTTGCTTCAGTTTGGAAGAAGAATTGTCCAAAGCTGCTACTTGCATCAGATTTGAAATAATTGCTTAGTGTTGTCCTAAAGCCCACTGACTGGTGGGTAGGGCCTTGCAGGACCAGCTGGTGTCCCCAAAAAGTCACCACAGGCTGCTGTATTCTGCCTAGGGCCGAACACCTCTGCCACACCTTGGGATCAGTCCCAGTTACCCGTCAGTTTTCTGGATTACTTTCCTTGCACTTTGTTTCCTTCTTCCAGAAACAAATCCTTGCCTGTTTATGTTGCCACATCTCCTTTCTGTTTCCTTCCCCACTGTGGGTTTTGGCCTGCATCTTCTCCGTGTTTAATGCTCCTTAGGAACTAGACAGCTAGATGCCTGGCTTTCCAGTCTCTGCTGCTCCACATGCCACGGGTCAGCACCCTGCCTGCTTGTGCTCTGCCCTCTTCTGCTTTTCTCTAGGGTGAATGGGAGCGGGGAGGTTTTGGGGAGGAAGAAGAGTGATTTTTTTCCAGAGGCCGGTGCCCTCACCCAGTTGCCTCTCCCTGCTGCTGGACAGCGCTGCTACCTCCCCCCTTGTCTTTGGGGTCGGTGATGCTCCCATGCCTCTGGGCTCTCTGATCTTCCTGCAGCTGCTCATCTGGCCAGCCTGTATGAAGGGCCTTGCAGGCAGCGCTCACACTGGGACCAGGTCATCTCCAGTGTTTCCCAGATGGAGTGATTCCTAATTTCCTGTAAGCTTTCCTGGACACCGTCACCCTTCTGCTTTCTGCTCATCGAGTTTGTACAGGGGGCTCCCACCCTTCTCCCTTGACTGTGTGAGTCTTCTCTGTGGGATGTGGTGGGATCCTGCTGTGCCCAGCTGTGCGTAATACTGTTAATACTGCGGTTCCCACCCCAGTTCTGTCACTCTTACAGGCCCAGTTGACCTTTTGGGTAAAAATGCCTTTGCTTTGGAATTGCTTATCTTGGCTCTTCCCTAGGGAAACACTCCCATCTTTTCTTTATTTACTGGAAATGGCTAAAAAGTACTTCTGAAGTCAGTTTGGTCACGCGCACAGGTCAAGGCGTCTGTCAGAGACGGAAAGCTGTGTGTGAAGGGAAGTGCTAGGCTGCCTTGGGGGGTGGGGAGGGGGGTAGCTTTTTGGATTGGTGCTGAAACAGCCGGGTAGGCGGGAGGGAAAACGTTGGTAAGGCAGAACTGGCGTTAGGTCAGCACTCTTTTAACTTGGAAGGATCCTGAAGCGCTGGGGACCAAACCCAAGCGAGCTCAGTGATTAAAGGGTAGCATCCCCATTAATGGGTAGCAGGTACCGTTTTGCCTAAAAATCCTGCACTTTGAGGGTTGAAAAAGGAATTGAAGCATCGTTTTGTGTGTTGGGGAGGGCAGTGGTTCGCTGCTGCTGTTTAAGCTGCTGAGGCTTGCAGGTCAGTGTTTCTCATCCGTTAGGTTGCAATTCAAGGGAAAGGGATTAAGTAGGGATGTGGGGGGTATGTGTGTGTGTGTGTAGGGAGGTGGTTTGGTTTGAAGAATTTAGGTCTTGGTTAGGAGTGTCGTTGCTCACCCTGCCCAGAAACTCTGGATGCATCGCACAAGCCGGCTGTGGGGGCAGGAAGCTGGGGATAGCCGGTTCCTGATGGCGGGGGCAACAGTGAGGGAAGCTGGCAGGGGTGGTTCCCAGAAGCTGGCTCTTGGCTCTGAAGGATTTTGAAGGTGCCAAGCTCGAGGTAAACCCTGGCTTCTGGTGGATGGCTGGTTTCCGTGCTAGCACAGACAGGCTCACATTAGCAACAACAGGCCGTAATTTGAAACGGAGGCACTCGCGCGGTTGCCTTCGAGCTGCCTTTTTTTCTGTGTTGCGCTGACTTGCCCTTGTACACCAGCGTGAGTCTCTGCGCAAGCGAAGGCGCTGAGCACGTATCGGGAATCCATGTTTGTGACGGTGCAACAAAGCAGCACCGAGCCAAGGGAACAGTGACATTCCTACATGTGACCCTTTTCATCTCCATCTCCAGGCGGAGAAGCAGGTAACACCACCCCCATCCGTGCATCTTCCTAGACTGTAAGCCGTGAAGGGCAGGGCTCTGTGAAGTGTCCATTTACACTCTGGTGCTACCTTAAATAAATGACATCCTCGGTTTAAAAAACACTCCTGGGTGTAACTGCTGTAGTCATACACCGGGCTGTCAGTTTGCAGCGAAGGCTGCGGAAAAACTCCCATGAGCCTGTGCTGGCTGAGCAGCAGGACCGGGAACATGGGCTCCCTGGAGCTCGCTGTAGGCTCCGTCGTACTGGGCACAAGCTCTGCAGGGGTCCTCTGTGCCTGAACTGGGAACTCCAGCGCGGCTTCCTTTTGGAGTGAAACCGCCATCTACAATTATTAGCCTGGGCTGGTAAATAGGGCCTTACTTCCCTAAGAAACGATCATCTTCCTCCCTCCAGCACTGCTTCCCGCTGGTCAGCACCAGGCAGGTTATGTGCCAGCCGTTTAACGGGGGCTCCAGGAGGCAGGTCGGGCTTGGGCTACAGATTTGTTCCATGAAAAGGCATTTTGTGAAGCATGACTCTTGTCCTCTTCACTTCTCCCACAGTCAATTAGGTGACTGAGCTGTGATTCCCATTTCTGTCGGAAGGCACCCGCAAGGAAAATCATCAGCTAAGGGCTCCCGACGTGGGGCACTGCGGGTACGGCTGTGTTTCTAACCCCGTTAAAACCCGCAGCAGCGAAGGAGCAGGGCTCTGCCTCACCAAATGAACGTGGAATGTGCCCTCCTCCGCTGCGCCGCATAAGAAACCATGCTGGCCATCGCTGCCATCCGCTCCAGAAAGCGAGCGCAACACCGTGTCATGTTGAAGAACCTTTTATTAGTAACGCATAAACAAGAAACTGCATTTCAGTACCACAGGACAGGAAAACAAGCAGGAGACAAGTCTATTGCCTTTCTCTGTTGGAGCCGACGTCCTGGCTGTACCTGAGGCCGCACAGACCGTACACGCGCAGTGACCGCACGGAAGTGGGAGAGGTTCCAAGGGGGAGGGTTTGTGCTTTGGGCCTGCTCATGCCCAAAAAGTGCATCTCCCGTTGGGGATTTTCTTTTTCTCCTTTATTCCCAGATACCCAGAGTGGAAGGGCTTGGAAGGGCTCCCTAGAGATCATCTAGTCCAACGCCCCTGCCAGAGCAGGATCACCTAGAGTAGATCACACAGGAACAAGTCCAGGCAGCTTTGGAAAGTCTCCAGGGAGGGAGACTCCACCACCTCCATGGGCAGCCTGTTCAGTGCTCTGTCACCCTCACAGGGAAGAAGTAGCAAAGGAGGGAGCTGGGGAGGAGCAACCAGCTTCGACAGAAACACAGCTCCAATACAC